TAGCAGTGCTGTGATATTATTTGCAAGCAGCCAAGGTAATTACCATCCAGCAGGGTCCAATTGTTTTCAATTAAAAGCTTGACTGAAGTCTTTAGTTTTTAATACCATTGTGACCATCTGCTTTCACTGAAGTTCATCAGCAAAGGCACAGGCCTCATTCTAATGCTACTTAATTATATGGAGGAACTTTTTTTTTTTTGGTCAGAGGTTCATTTTTTCCTGCTAAAGAAATGGGCAGCAAYGGAGCTGCCTGGCTTCTCTAATAGCCTGCAGCAAGATGGAGTATCCAGGAAGATCATTACCTTCCTGGGAGATCCAGCTGTTATTGCACTGACAAAAAGATCCAGGGGACCAACRGGAGAGAGCAGTTAACCTCAGCTGCCCTCCTCCCCATTCAGTCACTTGCCTCCTTTTTCTACCAGCAAATCTGAAAAGGCCACAAGGAAGAGGATTTAATCTAAAACAGAGAGTACGATCCTCCCCTGCTGATTAGATTTTTGGAGCTGGTTCCAGGCCAGGAGCGCAGGCAGGCTCTCCCGCCTGGGCACACATCCCCTCCTCCCTGCACATGCAGCGAATCTTTTGCAGTCCTGTATCATCTCAGATCTGAGGATCTTCAAATCCCTTACAGGCATTCATTAAGCCCCGTGCAATCCCCAGGAGAGGTAAGTAAATATAATTTTCCAGATGGGGAAATTAGGGCGGCAAGAGGTTAAGTGACTAGCCTGAGGCCGAACAACAAATAAGTGGCAGAATCAGCATGAGGATCTGCCAAGTCCCAGGTTTAATGAAAGTCTCTCGAGTGCTCAGCTCCAGAAAAGAARAAACAACACCCCAGTCCTCAAATCCTCAGGACACTTAACTCATTTACTGCAGCTCTGCTTTATATGTGCCAGTGCTAATAAGCGTGACTCTTAACATTTCCAATTGCACTGTGCACAGAAAAGCATTTTGTAGATTTAATGYGGGAACTGCTGTCTCAAGGCAGGGAAGCACGCTTGATGTTGTTCCATATCATCGACCCAGGCAGGCACGCAGCTTCCTCACGGGTGCCTGCTGCCATTTCTGTTACACACGGCTATTTCCAGGGATTGGCCCCCTGAGAGGCAGGTACTTTGCCAAGCACCAGTTAAAGAGGAAAAATAAGTGGTACAACACTGTCAGAGCTGGGGAGATGCACTGTCTTGCACCAGTGGCAGTTTGAAACCCTGAAATAAGAAGCCAGAGACTTCCCCGTCCTCTAGGCTGGCCATATAAATAAATCCATCACTCCAGTAAATCACAGAACTGTCCAACCAAGGCTTAAATCTCTGCTGTTTGCTAATCTTTGGAGGGACAGGAGGCTGGGTTTCACCCTTGCCCTGGGGGTGCCTCTCCCCTTGGCACATGGCTCCACTCCGGGCACAGGATGCTCGCCCTCCCTCCTGAAGGCCATCGGTCCTGCTCAGGGATGGTGCATCAGCAGAAGCACTAAATCTACATCAAGGCTGTTAGCAGCCAAACCCAGGTCTTTTATGTTATACTGACACCTCTACAGCTCCTTTGCAGCAAAGGCACTAGAACCAGAATCTGACGCTGGGGAGATAATTACTTGAGAAAATGGTGTAAATGACTTCAGTAGTTTGAAAGGCTTGAGGTGTTGCTGTTCAGCTACCTTCAGCTATTTGCAAATGTAATGCAATTTGTTTCCATACAGATTTCTTTTAAAGCTGTGTGTAGTATGTGTCCTAAATACATAATTACACASCAGAGTATAATGGCGCGTTCGGGTTTATTTTGTAACCAATATGCATTTTAAAAGCAAATTCTGAAGGAATACACAGCAACAAACATGYAGCACACATTCTGGTTTCTTACAGGTTCATTCCTAAGATGCTCCCAAAGGCCTATTCYTGCCAGAGACACAGACATGAAAAAGTGAGAAATAAACCCTCCTTTAAAAATTACCTYGAAGAAAAACATAATGACCCTGTTAAGAAAATATTCCAGTAAAAACATTTTTTGCATGAATGGCCTTTGAATTGAATGGCCTAGGAAATTAGTAATGAGTTTGCATTTTTCTTTCTGCGTTTGAAACTAATCTGTGCTTGTAGCTAATCGGCAGAGCTATACCAAAGAATTTTTCGGTGAGCTATGCAAAATTACTTAGTGGTGTTCAGTTGGGCAACTCTTACAGATGAGCTCTGTATCCACTGCATGAGTTACAGAKAAATTCCAATTCATTTCTAAAGTATTCCTAACAATCCCCAAAAGAAGGTTTCTGGTGAAAAGTCCTATACTGACAGGAGCAATAATGCATTGATGAATACATGCAACCAAAAGGTTTAAACAGCAGTCAGATGGTTGGGAGTCACCTGAGGTTGATCTTTAAGAGTGTTTCATACAACCACTCTAACTTAGGTTATTAGTAGTCCAACATGCTGCCTTGTTCACTAGTTACAGCCAAAAATATTTGGGTTTTTTTTCTTCTTTTGTAATTTCCTGAATAGCCATAAGACAATGGACTGCATGACAGGAGTGCATGACCATCAATGCTTTTCCTTACAAGTCCCCAGCAAGCTCCTAGCAGCATAAAAAAGCACTATGTCCTTCATTGAAAGCATTTAAAACTGAGGTGGTGAAATCAGGTACCATCTGAATCAAGAACCAGGTGCACCTAAGATCTACATCTCCCSTCAGAAGCATCTTTCTTTCTCCATCACCTACAGAAGCAATTGAACATGAAAASGCTCCCAATTCTGGCACCTGACTTAATTGCTTAAAGAAAAAATAAAAATAAATTCTGCCTTTTTGAATCTACTTGTTAGTGATCTTTAAGCAGAGAAGTTTCTGGATGTAAGAAGTTTCSCGTATTAAAGATGAAAAAGAGAGTTTCAATCTAATATGCCTTAARTAAAAAATCCAAATATCATTTTTCTGACTGTTTTCTATTTTTGTTAATTCAATAAAAATACCACAGAATTTTAAAATGAAAATATATGGAAAATTACAGCACTGGGATTTTCCCAGGTAGTCTGCACCTCTGTGTTGGAGCTCCAGGCCATGGAAGGCTTCATTCATTTGTCTTCTTCCCTTCACATTCACTGAGTCTGAATGGGACCTGAATATTCTCTGTATGCATTTCAATATTAGCTTTTTGATTTTATGATACTTTTTCAGATCTGGGGAAAAATGAGATTTCCAAATGCATCTGTACTGTGACAACTCTCCATTGTATCTCATCGTCTGTTCTTTTTAGATCTAAAAACGTTAAAATTCAAGTGAGAGGCAACTGAGCCTAATGAGATGAATCAGTGGAAAAGGACCCTTCAGCCTCAAGACACGGGTGGTGCCACACCAGYCAGTCAGCTCAGGGGAAGGCTGATTGCTCACTAGGTCTCCCTGGGTGATCCCTCTGTTTTGGTTTCCTGGATTCTTGTAATTCTTCCACCCAAGTCAGCTCCCTACAAACTTTTTTAGAGATAATGTGGCAAAATGCTTCAGATTCAGCTGCTAGTAAGGAGAAAGAAAGCCAATGTTTCACACTGTGTATATTTTCTTCTTCAAAAAAGGAAAAGCTCCCTCATTGTTTTTTCTACTGTACTTATCCCTTCTTAAAGCACCCAGACAGCTTAAAGACAGAGATGTGGAGTCTGAGTATCCAGAATCTATGTGAAAAACAATATTATCAGAGGATCAATCTGAAAACCTGTATTTCAGTGAGCTTTGTGCCATTTCCTGAATAACAACTTCAGCTCTCATGTACTGTCTTATAATTACGAAAAATATAACCTGGTATAGAATGCACCGTGTCAGCTTTGATTATGCCAGCAGAGAAAGACATGGGATACAGAGAGAGAATAAAGGAAGAATGATGGCTGTCTACTGGCTTATCAATTTACATCTCTCTGCAGTAAATCTAAGTCCTTTGTGCTGTCAGTCACGCACTCCTACAGCAGTGATTGCTGGAATATGAAAATCACAGCTTCGAGATCCATTTGTACATCCACGTGTTGGCACAGCCTTTYTGGGTTTATTGCTTCAGTGGCTGCAGCATCCCCCATCAGCATGGGTCCYGCGATTTGAGGCTCAGTGTTTGCCTCCACTACGCAGCTTATGTGCAACAATTTATGCCAACACTCTCTGAATCACCACCTTTTCAGTTCAAATTGTGAAGGAAGATGGAAAAAGCCCCCAGGAAACTGTAAAGGTAACGAATGATCATTTGTTAGATGACCTATTTCAGGCCTATAAATTTCAATAATATGTTSTGATTGTGGCTAAAAATAACACACCTCCTCATCAAATATTTACTGTGACATAAATAACCACCCAGCCAACATCATGCTTTTGAACACATTAACAGTAATTGCATATTTTCAGCTGAAATGACACACTGGAAATTAATGAAGACAAGAAGATGTGAGCAAAAACCACCTCACTGCTGCCACAGCCCCTATAGTGACTGACAGCAATAAAGGGCARCTTCCTGGAAATTTCAGAGGCATGGAGTTCAGAATACAAAAAATCATGCTTGTTGCAGGCACAACACATGGTTATGCACACACACAAAAACACACACACACCCACACACACACCTCTACAACTAAATTTTCTATGAGTTGTGCAGTAAATTAAGGGTCTTGCCCTCCCCAGCTCTCTCCCATCTGGACCCACAGCCAGGAGAAGGTCAGCWATGTTTTGTGCTGTTGTAAAATACACACAGTGGTAGAAAAGCATTTTTTCAAACCCTTTATATGCCCTGTGAGGGAAAGCATTCCTCCATGTAAATTTCCCACAGGGCCACAGATAACTAGCAAAGAGGAAGAAAAGAATCAGAAACTATCCTTGCTCTATGAACTTCTCTCRGCTATTTTCCTACCATGGAGTTAGCATTCAAATTTGTTCAAATAGTTGAGTGCTATTTGTCTCTAATGGGACAATAATTGTGGTGAAAGGAAAACAAAAGCCACTGGAAAATATGGCAGGATAATGAATTATTGCTGATTTCATAAACTTACGTAAGTTGATCAGAATCCCTTAGAAAACTCTCCAAGCAATGTTTCCATCTTAAAATTCTCTGCATTAAAAAAGAGAAAACTGTCATATTCATGCACTCGGCTTTTGAGCTGCATTCCGTAAGGCAAGAACAATTCTTCCAGATCAGCAAATCTGTACAATATGGCAGTGTTTGGTTCCCACACTGAATAAAACATGGTCTGTCCTATCCCATCATTTATTAGACTTGGCATTATTTTCCCACTATAAAAATTCCTAATAGCGTTGGACCATTTTCATCATGAAGTAAAAAGAGGAGCATGAAATCACTCCCTGTCTTTAAAGTAAGCACATACATTACATTTTGSGTTTTTCCTTGTGTTGAGCCTGAAGTACCTCAATGTTTGGCACTCATTGGGGCTACTACCACAGAAGGTTGTTTCCTCCTTGACATCTCATAAAACCCCAAAATTCCTGAGTGTGGAAAGAAGGGGTATTGCAAGCAAGTAAATGACTGCAGAGACAGAAGGCTGACAATGTTTTTGCAACTTACCCTTAATTTTAGTTGAAAAAGATATTTGAATCCTGGAGTTTGATTTGAATCAGTAAGGGGAATAACAGTATTTGTTATTGGAAATAAATAACCCTAAACAGCATTTGCTGTTTTGCAGCTCCTCAGACATCTGYATTACCTCCTCTCTTGACCTTAAGCAACACATTCACCTCACAAAGAACARCGCTGGGATTAACCTAAGGTGCACTAGAGTCAGGAACCTGAAGGCCAAAGTGAGCTACAGTTATTGCCTTGCATTTCTCTTTCATGATTGTGCATCATTTGAACRAAACAGAATTTTTATTTTAAGCTGCTGCCAGCTAAAAGTGCCCTGGTGAGTCAAAGGCAAAATCCAGAATACAGTGCAGTGATTTTCTGGTCTTGAGTTTTGACCACCGGGTCTTGACAACCTTGCCAAAACCCTGAAGATGTATCTGTGCTCATAACACAAGGAAGTCCATTAGAATGCTCTTCTGTCTTTCTCCTACTCCATGTTCTCTCACCTCTGAGACATGTTTTTGCATAAGAAGTACTTGAATGACAGCCCTAGCAGCAGCCTATCACACCACAACAATAAAGGATTAATTACCTCCGTCATCAGCACTCCATTATTATTTGTAGCACCAAGCGCCTGCTCTATTTTTGTGAGCTACAAATGCCTGGGAACACAGAAAAGAAGACACTGTGCATTAATTCAACAAGTCTGCTAGCCTGCACCTGCGTTTAATTAGTTACTCTCAAATCAGACCTGCAGAGCCAGGAGCTGCAAGCGAGAGCACCACTGACTGCTGGCCTGGCTGGGCTGCCGATGTAATTAATTGCATTCTTACTGTGGCTCTCTCCTCTGTGCAAACAAAAGTTAATCATTTACTGGGAAAGTCTGAGCTGATGCTTCTCCACCGTTTGAGCCAGCGTGTAGAACATTTCAATGACAGCATCCTCCCCTTCATGTTTACTGCTTGCCTCCCAAAATGACATGCTGACCATGTSAGTGCTGCTGGAGACTTACATGGAAGCAGGGGTTGAAATGGTATCAAGGAAAAGGAAAAAAAGGAAGTGAAAATCTGAACTAGAGAACTGCTGACCACAAAAAAAAACACTGCTCACTAGCTGCCCAAAACCAAAGGCTTMTTTGGGCAGAGGTTTGGCAAATGACAGCTAATAACCTGGCTGTGTTGTCATTCCTCTTGCCTTCAACTTAATGTTCACGTAAGCATCAAGCTGTTCGTGCACAATAATGGCTGTATCCTCAAAGCGCACTTTCAGAAAGAGGGAAGCACCATTATTTCTATTAAACACATGACAAAGAGAGCAGCAAAGGATCTTCTCCTAAGTTTCCACAGAAACCAGCAGAAAAGCAAGGTGCACTGCAYCTTGGCATGGCTGCTGTTTCCAGCACAAGAACATTATGATTAGACTGCAAATGGACTGTCTGTTTGCAAAGGGGGGAGGAGGACTCGTCCAACAGCAACCTTTGAAACTTTTGAAACACACGATTTAGAAATGATGAGCTTTCTTTTTTAAATTTTTTTTTATTTTGCTTTCTGAGAGCAGCCTGGTACATTTCTTTTTAAAATTGATGGCATATACTTGATCAAAAATGCTAAAATGCTGGTTCCAGCAAATTACACAGATAATTAAGCCTAATTTCAATAATGCTCCAAAACACTACTAATAAATCTTTGGGCTCATGCATTCCTTGAATATATACAAGCTACTTCACAAGCACCAAATTCCACCCTTGCAGCTCCTTTTCTGTCAAGCTTTGGCAACCCCAAGCTAAATTCTGCTGTCAGTTATATCCTGCGAGTCTGGAGCAATTGTTTGTCCTGGCTGGCATAACTCAAGATTACAGCTATGTAAATGAGCACAGAATGTAGCTTGAAATGTTGTAAATCTGACCTTCAGCTTGCTTCCATGAAAGGGGAAAACCCAGGAACTTGTTTTCACATTCACTAAGCTTCTTGAAAAACCACCCTGCATAAATATTATGATTTCAGTCATAGACATAGCAGATTTAAAATGGAGTTAAACCTGCCTAGTGTCTAGGTCTAGCGGGAGGGGGAAGGATGACGAGTGTAATATTTATGAGCTACCACAGGCAACACTTGTTTTTAAACACTGATTTGCTCTTTGGCCTCCTATCTTGGCAGCCTAAGACCTTCAGCTTATTCTAGGTCACTGCTTGACCTCAASAGACTGCAGCATTTCCTCACCAGCAGCACTTAAATGTTGGTCAGTCCATGAACGCCAATCGCCAGCCTCCCAACCCACTTAGCTGGGTCTCTTACCAAACAGAGTTAGAAGGAAGAATACCACAAAAACCAGGCTTCTAAACAACACCAAAAAGACAAGGGAAAATAATAATTGAAGTGCTGTTTATTCATGGAAGCACAAGTTAATTAATTAATGGTTTTTTTTAGCAACTGGTTTTGGAGCAAACATCATTTGCCAAAGTGCAGCACAATCCTTGCAGGGTTGCCACTTGCAGTTATGAAAGTGTATCTCACTTATTACCAATATACACATCTGAAGGGTTAGCTAGTTTCAGGCTAGATAAAACCACCAAAATACTGCATGGTAAGAACCCCTATACATGTTGATTTTGATCATCACATTTTCTCTTTGCTCTGATACATCCACATAACATTTGGAAATCTCTRTCAGGCCATTAAGTATGACAGATTGCTGGCCTATACATTTCAGAACTTCTATCTGTCCAAAGAATAAAATAAAATGATGGCKCTGTACGACAGCACACAGCCAGGCAAAGCTGGACAAGGATGTATATACCAGTGGCAGCAGWGATATTTAACTATGGAAGAAAAGCTTGCAGAGGATATGTCAGCATTTTATTTGCTTCTAGACTGCATTATCAATCTTTGACATTAACCAAAATTAAAAGTCATTGCATTATGCAAAATATTTTTAAACAATCAGCAGCTCTTGCCTTCATTTCTAACTTTCTTAAAGCATAACTTGATGCACTACTATAAAGGAATGAAAGAGCCACAAAATCTCATCAAAATGAGAAGGGAGACTGCATCTGAGTCTGATGACCTGCAATTTGCCTGCTGTTGGGGGGCTGATTTTAAAAAATGGACCAAACTCACTTTGTGCTGATTGTTAACCACTTTAAATACTTTAAAAGATAATTTCCATTTTTCCTCCTATATTAAGGAGTGAATGCACTTTCCATTTTAATTCCCACACTGGAAAAGCAATGGAACAGTGTTTGAAGAAGCCATTTCACACATATGTCAGCGCAGGCACATAGCTGGAGACAGCAGTAGTGGCAATATTCTTACTAGCACCACCATAGATTACTAGGACACTTCAGAAGGTCAGCTAAGGACCTGTTTCAATGAGGAGAAATAAAAGGGAATTTCTATTTACTTAACAATGAACATAGTTTCCGTGGTAAAATCTTCCAAGCGTATGGTTTGTTTTGGAAACTGTGAGATCTGAAATTTCTTCTGCAAAGAGGGATTGTTTCTGTGGAATTGGAGCAAAATTATCCACAGGTATTTAGACTGAAAAAGCACTAACAAAATAGCCTAGGTTTAACTTCTTCTCTTTTTTCCTTCTCTCCTGATTTCCAACAGTTTATCACTTCTTCAGAATTTGTCTTGAGCTAAACATCACTGTAAACTGATGTGTTTGGTGTAGAATAACAAATGTCATCCAAGACCTTTTGAGTTACAGGTCATTTAATATAGTAACTGTGGGCAAGACAAGCCCCATTGTGCTCCCCSTGATGTCAATGAGTATTTGCTGCCCATGAGCTCAGAAATAAGTACCAATCTAAATTTGTCACTTTGTCATTTTCTGGGTGCCCATCTTTAGGCTCCCAAGGATTAATTTGCAGGGTAGGCAGGTGCTACTGTAAACAGGGCAAAGACAAGCAGAGACTCTTGCTTGGATGCAGTTGCGGTCCTACGCTTACAGGTGCAAAGGGGACAGCTTATCTGGTTATGGCCTCGTGCCTGCAGCAGAGTGGCAATACTCCAGGGAAGTAGAGAATATAGGAAAATGGAAATGAGAACTTGGAATCTATGCCCAGGACAAAAAAAAAGGCACCAAAACACAAACAAGCAAACAAAAAGGCCGTTTTATCATTTGGTGTTAGTGCTGGCAGAAAGCTGGGTGCAGGCACTGGCTCTGGTCAGGATTTGTATTACAACAAACAAAACAGAAAACCAAACAAGCCCCAACAAAATGCTTTTATCATTTCAGTAAAAACTAATCATGACYTCTTGTGTCTGGCTAACTTATCAGGTGGAAAATATTAACATTGTGAAGCTCCAAGCAATTTCAACACAAGCTAGGTCCTTGAGTTCCCTACAGGGACCTGCCCAGTTAGCTGACCCTCTTTTTTGATTCTTCTCTCTACAACTAAGTTTTTTTAAGAAAACAAAAAGAATAAGAACACTTCAGTGCACCCAGTCAGCTGTGAATAGACAAAGAATGAAGCTGCTCTGCTGAGAATGCCACAGGGAGAAAATGACTGATCCTCTGCAGGGTCCAAGGAAACCCAAAACCCCCTACTGAATTGTGAGACTGAAAAATAAAGAGATAAAATAAACCAAGCCAATCACAGAGGATGTTTATTTAGTYAGGAAACAGCATCCATCCATAGCCCAATCTTTCATTTCACAGTTTTGGTATGTTTCAATACATTTTTTTCTCAGCTACATAATATATGATTCCTTAAATGCATGCATATATATTAGTTCTAAAACACTGGACAGTTTCCCTTGCTACCTTTATCGTGTCAGATTTTCCCGTGTTTGCAAGGTCTTTCTCTGTTGCTGTGAGATAGACCTGTACAAATAAAAACCTATCCCTGTCTGATTGCACAGGGAAACACTGACCCTGCGTAACCACTATGCGCAAACGGTGTGGACAGCCCAGATTTCTCTCCTTTAACTTGTTTGGCTCTTGGAATATGAAAAGCAGGTCAGCATTTTTGCAGCAAGACTTTGAAGACTAAGGCCTTCACTGGAGTAGTTGCTGGTGAAACACAAGGAGAGCCTCTGGCACAGCCATGGGCAGTAAAAGGTGGACTCTGCAAACACTTAGATGAGTGTTTAAGTATAAAAGTATTGGGCAAAACCCCAGCCACAATGACATCCATGGCTTTTTCAATGTCAACATCAGTGGGAGCAAGATTTTATTTGATGGCTTAAACTTATAATTTAATATACAGGTCCAGAGCCCAAATAGTTCTCTACTCATCAGAAATTATTAATACTGAGCTTGAAGTAGCACCCGATAACCAAATTACTCATGCAAATAAAAACATTATGATGGAGTGCAACAGTGTAAGTGAAAAATATTATTCACCTTCCAAGGGAAAAGAAATAGTTTTTAAATGAACCCTTAATGTAATCTATCCTTTTAGAATATTAGTTTAAGAAGAAAACTTATTACCCCGTGGAAGATATACCTGTAATAGAGACTTCTCAGGTATCTCACCCAAAAACATTCAAAACAGACGTGAACACACACTCTAGGTTTTCCATAAATACCACTATTTATTTCCAGTAAATATTGTCCCTTGCTTTATCTCTGCCAGTTGGTATCACCTCAGACCAATAAATCCATGCAGGAGCCCATAACTACTCACTGCTGTCATTGGATTAGCAATGATTGCAAGTGACTGCTGCAGAGATGGACTGGATGGAGTCTGAACTCTTCCCCCATGGCATGTATGCCTCCCACCACTGCAGGATTCCCCCAARAGATATTTTCCTGCTCTCAGGCAGCACTGGTGTTCCTGGTAAACAAGGAAAGCACA